CTAAAATATCTACACCTTTTGTTTATGGTGTAAAATCAAACTATGTTTAGGATCAGAAAAAACAAGTTTGGACTGTAATTTTATGTCAAGATTTTTGTAAGAACGAGTTTATGGTTTATTAAGTAAGAAATATTAATAATTTAAACGTATGCTTTTGCAGATGGCGCAAGAGATACGAATTCATAGGAAATTACAACATAAACACATCGTACGAATGGATGGTTTTTTTGAGGATCACGATAATGTCTACATTTTATTAGAGCTGTGTCCTCGTAGAGTTCGTCGTTTTAACATTTCAAAAGTTTTAGCTTTTTATTAGAAATCAGATTTTCAGTAGTAATGACAAGGATGACAGTTGTTCAAAAAATTATATCTTAAGTTACTCGTTGAAGTTCTGAATTGTATTTCTTTTTGGGCGTTAATTTTACAGAGTGTTCGTTTATTATCTGTATATTTCAGTCTTTGATGGAACTGCATAAAAGACGAAGATTTGTCACTGAACCAGAAGCGCGTTATTTCATGAGACAGGTGAATTTTGTGGAAAACAAATATCGATTTTTGAACGATTATTTGTCATACGAAATGGGGTATTCATGAAAAGGATTGACATTATTTGCTTTTTCACGACATTGCTTAATTTCCTGTGTGTTACAGATTGTTGAAGCGTGCCAATATCTTCACGAAAATAAAATCATTCATCGGGATCTAAAATTGGGAAACTTGTTTTTAAATGAAGATATGGAAGTCAAGGTGGGAGATTTTGGTCTAGCAACAGTAGTGGAAGTCGATGGCGAAAGGTTTACTCTCATATAACCAAAAAATATTTTAACTTAATATAGACATTCAAGTATGCTGTGATATGGAATCATAAAATCATTTTCACGTTTTCTTTACGGACCTTTATGCAAACTTCTCTAACATGTAACGCTCAGCAATGCATGCCGCTGGTCTTAAAACTTAGATTTGAACAAATTCAGCTGGTTTAGTGAAATGTTTTTTTTTTAAATCCGTAGGAAGAAAACATATATTTGTAGGAAGAAAACATTATGTGGCACTCCAAATTATATCGCTCCTGAAATGCTTGATAAAAAAGGTCACTCGTATGAAGTAGATATCTGGGCCATTGGATGTATTCTTTACACTTTATTAGTAGGAAAACCGCCTTTTGAGACCTCTTCACTAAAGGTACTTTTTACTACAATACTGCAGAAATACAATAATTTAAATAACAATAACCATATTGAGAATGAAAGAGGTTGCAAATTTTGCAGGACACTTATAATAGAATCAAAAGCAGTTGTTATTCAGTGCCTTCACATATCGGCTGTAATGCAGATCTACTCATCCGAGAATTATTACAATCTAAACCTGAAAAACGCCCTACTATACATAATGTATTTTGTTATGTTATATGTCTCTTTAATTAAAAATTATCTCATTTTTTGTAAAGATTAAAAAATTTACTTCCAACGAAAATTGTAATCCTTAGTAATCAGCTTGTGTTGTAATAGAAAGTTTAGAAAATCCAATCAATATTTTTGAAGTAGAAGCCGTTAAAGTAAGAATATTTAAAAATGAAGAATAATTGCTAGATTTTCTAATACTGAAAGTTATTTGTTTACATTGGTTTCAGGTGATGCGTTTTGCGTTTTTTAAAGCTTACACTCCAGCAAGGCTACCTACCTCGTGTCTTACTATGGCTCCCAAATTCGCGAACTCGGAAATTCTAGAGAAACGTCCTGCTCCAGAATCAAAAAAAATTATTACTGGATTTAGTCCGAAGAAGCTTCTCCGTAAGGTAATGGCAATTATTTCTGTCAAAAAATTAAACCTATTCATAATCTTTATTTTGAATTTGTTTTTGCAGGAAGTGTTAGCAGTTCCATCTCGTCAGCTAACGTCTGTTCCGGAAATGCAGGTGCTTCCTGCTATAGAGCCGTGTGATGTAAGCAGTAAGTTCCATTTGATTATTTTATAAAATTAGTTAAATGGTTCTGCGAAATTGTGATTTATGTACTTGGCAATTATTTAAAATGTTTTACTCGTAGACAGCCTGCTTGCAGTAAGCATCGACTCAGATAAGAAGTTTCCTCTGAACTCTTTCTGCTTATGTGCATAATTTTTCATTAGGAATCCTATAAATTGTTTTATGTAGCAGGAAAGAGAGAAAAGATATTATAAATATACGCGTTTTCAGAAAATTTTTTAAATCGAAAAAGTTTTAACTGGTATTAAGGTAAATTTTAGGGACATTTTTCTTCTGAGGATTAAAATTTGTCTCTAAGCAAGAGCTCGGGACAAATTTAAATGAAATTTCTTATTTTGTAGTGAAGTATTGCAATAGATTTGTGGGGGGTTGCTTTAGGCGCCAGATAATCCATGATAATTGAATTTTTAGAAGAAGCGGATTTACCCAATAAAGTTGATGAGCATCCACCAGATTGTTATCTCTCAGATTTGTGCAGACAGCTTACAGAAGTTATTAACAGCAAACCGAAAGAAATTCCGAATGTTCGGGATGGTAAACAGATTTTGTTTTTAAAATGATTTGTATTAGAGCATTTGTGAAAGATCTGTTGGTAAATACCTTTAGATGATTTGGAGGATCCTGCTGCTATGCCAGTTTTTTGGATCACAAAGTGGGTTGATTATTCGGATAAATATGGACTAGGCTACCAACTCTGTGATAACTCCACTGGAGTTGTATATAATGATAGCACAAAAATGGTTCTGGATGCAGCAGGAGAGTGAGTTGCATCTGTAATATTAATTAAGTTACGGAATTAAAGAACAGTTTTCTAGTATTTTAGTCCCAATTTCAGATTTTACATAATCAGTTACATTACTACACAGAACTATGATGCCACATTTCATTAGTACCTGCAAATTCAGTTTAATATAGGAACTAGAATTTAACTTTTCAGACAGGTGCAGTATCTTCAGCGGAAAAACCACGAACTCTATTATACTATGTCCAATTATCCAGACCATCTACGTAAGAAAATGACACTGCTTCAGTATTTTAAAAATTACATGACTGAGCATCTTCAAAAAGCTGGCGGTGATTTACCTGTACGTGAAGGTGATGAATTAGCTCGTTTGCCTGTTCTTCGCATATGGTTCCGTACACAATCAGCTATAATACTTCACTTAACTAATGGGACTCTTCAACTGAATTTCTTCGAAGTGAAATTTTCATTATTTTGAAAGAATTTAATTCATATATTATGCAATTTTGGACTTAAATTAAAGCACAAAAACAAACTGAGCTTTGATTTCTGTTAGAAAATGCTTTCACTAATATCGAATTCAGCAAAATATTTCGTCACGTTTCCATAAAGCGATCATAATCACTAGATTGATTCGTTCAGAACAAATCCATGTTTGAAGTCGTTTGGTGACTGTAATATGTAATGCATCTGTCGATTTTGTCGTAAAATTTGTTCTTGCATATTATACTTTATATCTTTATACATTATGAATTTTGCAGGATCATACCAAACTCGTAATATGTCCTTTAATGGGCGCGGCAACTTATATTGATGGTGATCGTAACATTCGTGTGTTGAGGCTTTCTGCGCTCGCTAAATACGGTTGCCCTAAGGGACTTATGTAAATTTTTTTTCTTCTGACAGTTACGCGATTTATTGTAAAAAATATTTGAAATTTGTTATAGTCTCGTTATTTTGCTTATAATTTTATTTGTATATAAAGTTTTAATAATTTGCTTTTTTTCACTTTCACTGGCACGTTTATACTAAGTTGTTTGTGAATATATTTGTGTCATGAGATAATACTGTTATTAAAATCCTAGAATGCTAGAAATATAATGGGGTGTTTTGTACTTTTTCCATTTATTGCATACTCTGGTTTCATATAGGTAAATTGAACTTGGAAAATTAACAATCACCTAATACTTTTTCATCCTGTTTTTAGTTATCTCCTCAAGCAATCCAATATAAAATCAGCAATTGTTGACAAATGAGTAAATGAACGTAAATCTAATTATGTCAAGTTTTAGGGACCGAATACGATATGCGAAGGTAATGGTAGAGCGTTTGATAGCTTTCCATGCCATACGGCCATATGCATCAACATTTGTCACGACACCGCATGCCTCACCAAACGGCGGTGGATTTTGCTAGGGAAAGCAGGAAGATGAAAAAATCATCTTTTTTATATAGAAGAAGTTTTCAGCAAAAAACAAGTGCTACCTATGATAAAAGCCTGTCTCTTTTCTTTCACTAGAATCTATTTTCTTACGCATTTTTTTTGTGTTGTTTGTGCAATCTTCAACAAATTTCAGCGCTTAAATTGTCATGGTACAAGAAATTACTGATATTTAACATAGAAAATTGATTGTATAATCATTTCGTACCTTTATAATAGCGGGTCTTTAATTCATCAACATTAATACCATTAAAATGAAATAGAGATGTTTCCTGAACAGTCTTGCATATACAGGATAAAGCAGATCTTCAGATGAATTGACTTTTCTGCTTTTCTAAAATTGAAAATTGTTCTTTTAGAAGTTTATTCTTTTCTCCTTATATAATAGACTTGTCAGTAACTACTTTACAAATCTGCATCATTTCTTCTAATTGTTTTGATTAATTTTGTCATGCTCTCGTCTTTTGTAAGTATCGTGAAGCTGAAGAACTGTTCTCTGATTAATCTTTACTATGCTCTCGAAAAAAAAAGCTGACAGTTTCTAGGAATCTTTTCGTGATATTGATAAATTTTGAATTTTCATTAATGAGTTGTGCCTTTAAAGACTAAAGACACGTGGTACTTCAGTATGTAACGAAAAAAGATGAATAAATTTGTGCTTAAATTTACGGTGTCTCATGCGGATTTCAGAATCACTCCAGCGACAGTCGCTTCAGGAACGAGTGAAGAACTGATGCGTATTGCTCTTGTCTGTCTGTACTTTTCATGCAAGCTCTTTTGTCCACAGGGGATAAGTCCTGTAGTTACGAGTGTAGTGCAGCGCATAATGTCTATCTCACAAGTGTTGAATTGCACCACATTCTAATGATGCAACATGACCAATGGCCATGCACGTCATTTTTCACTCTCGAACGTCATTTGCGCTGAGGTCTAGGGTATTTTTCTGTAGGGTAAATTTTGTTGCGTCATCTCCGAGGCTAGTTCTTATGTCCGCGAAGTCGATTTACAACTACAGCTTTAATCTCCAAAGAATGTTGAGTAATGGAATCTACCTGAGTTTACTTTTACTTTAAGTAAACCTCTACTAACAAAGTTGTAGAAATTGCATTTTTATAGAATTATCAGCTTTGGGTGTCTCTTTTTTGAAAAAGTTGTAGTATTTCGACAAAATTTGTTCATATAATAACATTTAAGCAAACATGGAATTATTTGATATTCGATATACTTTTCAGGTGGTTTCTAATATCGAAAAAGTTTCTAAAAGAAAGTTAAAAAATACAACTTTGATACTTTAGAATATAGAAATCTGCTTGCTAAGGTATGCCACGTATAACAAATGCTAAAACATATACGTCATTGTAATGTGATTAACGCATAAGTATTGGAAAAGTTGTAAGCAATTCAAATAATTGGTCGTAGATGTGGTACTTTCAGTAGAGTAGAGCATTTGATTCGAGAACGCATCATTTGAGAGGTATTAAAATTTAAAATAATCTGTCAAATTAGATTGACCAAGCGATCAGAGGATATAATCTGACCATATTAAATAATGATATGTGTTAAACTTGATAATGACAGAAATTGCATACTGTAAAGTAAAATTAATATGTTATTCTGTGAGATATTAGAATACAGTATGCATTTTTCTTGAGTATTATAGGCATAGAAGCTATTTAATGTCAAAAGGGCTAAATTTCGGTTTTTTCATAGATTTGAAAATTTGTACAAACTCTTCACTACTGTACATTTATACTGATAACTCCGTAATTACTGATAATTCTGTTGAATAATTTGTGAATATTTCTGAGAATATCAATTATAGAGTCCCTTACTGATATTACTTGTACAGTAAATATTCAAAGAAAGGTAGCATAAGTGTGGTACTTAATGTTTTAACAAACTAGGCATTGCTTTTATGAGTACCGCAACAACTAAAGCACGTGTTCTTGATGGTAATCAAAAAAGTCTACAAATTTTGCCTTTGACCTTTTACTGACCATTTGATGGATGTGATGAGAAGATCAAAAGTGACCGCCGACCTTTTTGTCGGTTAAGAATCAATTTAGATGAATGTCAGCAATTATTATTTGCAAAAACATTGTAATTTTGTAATTCAATACTTTACCTATGGTGGTAATCATGTCTTCTGCACATTTCAAGGTTGAAGGTCAAATAAACACAATTTTTTTACCCGCAAAAACAGCCTAAATTTCATCTTTCTTACGTATTTCATGGCTGTATTGAATATTGAATGTATATCACTTTTTTTAAATATACGTTTTGTTTGAAAATTTTTACGTGAAGTATAAAAATATCCAAAAATAATTTGCATTCATTTCTTAATTACTTCCTTTACAATATTTTATCAATGCTCAACTTTACAATTATTCAAATGGATAAGTCAACTTTTAATAATACAATGAGTACAAAAGTAAACTTGTCAAGAAGTGTTTCACGAATTAATCTGATAAAGCACTGATAAATCAATTAATCTTTTCGTACCACTGAAAATTATTTGTTATCAGAATCTGAAACTTTTTTTGCCAGTAATCGTCGATTAATTTCTAAGTAGAAGAGTTGATTTTAGCGGCTGATAGCTTTTTTTTCTGTTACATGAATCTGCTAAGTATGCAAATTATTGTTTTGAGACATTAAATAAATTCTTCCGAAAGGATTCGCAAATTTTAATTTTAGCATTGAGTGACCATTATATTGAAGGACATTTTGATCCGTAGACAATCAAAAGGCCATCTGTAAAATGTGCTGTTTACATGCTGAAAAATTTATCATTTTATTATTTAACGTGATATTTTAAAATAAACTGAAAGTTAGTTTTATCAATCGATTATAAAATGTAATCTAACTATATTAAATAATGATTAATATCAAAATTTATAATAACAAAAAGTTTTAATTTCTTCAATTAGTATTCAAGTTGTGATTATTTTAATATCATATTAATTAAATTATACGAACTAATATGATATCAGTTCGTATAGTCTAATTTTGTTTTGATTTTCAAAAATTAATCATCTGAAATTTATTTTAGGTTTTTGATGTCTGCAGTGTATTTAATAAAAGGAAAAATGCTTATTTTCTTATGAATATTTCATTCAATGGCAAATTTAAAATTCATATTTTTGATTGACATGAATAATTGAATAAATATTTGAATTAAATTGATTGAATTCATAAAATTAATAAAAGAATATTATTAATTAGAATAAATAACGAAAGGTATAACAAAAAGTCATCAAATCTCTAACTCATTTTTAAATAAATCTAATTTATAAAATGTTAAAAAAAGGATAGAAAGTAGTTTTTATACTATTTTTCATAATTTGAGTATTCATTATCCATCCTGTTCTTAATACAATACAATTCAGTTTTGAAGACTTTTTGTAATAAGCCCTGATTGATCAACTGAAGGAAAATGACCTGTAGAATTGCATTTCTTATTTACCTGATGACCCTTCAGTAAACTTCAATAAACTTTCAAATTAAATAATGAAAGAACAAAAGTGAATGAACTCTGGATGACCTTCAGAAAGATTACTTAAACGATTTTATTAATAAATCATTACTTAATGCAACTTTTCTAGCCTTCCGGTTGTAAATCCTCCGAAAATAAGAGGCTGACACCCTCTCATGCATATCTTATCATCACTAATCACCAATTCATCTTTCCAACTTTGCTAAATATAACTTATTACGTTTCTGCGTGACATTAATCTTTTCTTGCAATCTTACAGTTAGTTCTCTTCATGGCTGCAAATCAAACACTCAAGCATATGCGTGAATATAGCACACAAGACTAAACTGTGCAATAAATTAATTATTCAGTTTTTGCATAAATTTGTTAAATTTTAATTTTCAAAATAAATACTTCTTTTTTTTTAATTTCTGAAAAACATTGCTTCTGCGAATATTTCTTTTCATATTCCAAACAATGGCATTTATTCCGTTTAAATGAAAATCAGCGGCAAATTGTTGATGAATTAATTCGGATGACCAAATATGCAACAATGAATTATTGTTCTGAACAACAGGTCATAAGTCAAATTAACACATAATTAACCTTTATCAAATTGTTATAGTAATTACTTCTTTACTAATTCTGAATGAAAGTTAATGATTCATGCAGAAATATAAAAAGTTAAATTATGCAGAATGGATTGAATGCACTGATATACAAAGATTTCTTTTTTTGATTGTACATAAAATGTATTGTCAAAGTTATAATGTGTTCAAATTTAAAATACAAAATAGAGGTTAAAGGTCATTGAAATTATTAGAAGGTCAGTTATAAACATTGAAGTTTATGATGAACAAATATAATACGAGAATAAAACAATCAATTTGTAGAGTAAAGAAGTGTATTTCAGTTGCCCATTCATACTGATAATTTGTTTTGAAAAATTAATTTGATTTATAAACACATTAATTCAATTAAAAATGGCACTCATCAAATTTAATTATTTAATTACTGAAAATATTTTTGAGTTTTTAATTTGTAAAAATGGCACTTTTACATTCATCGAACTATTAAATATTCTTGTATGAAAGAGACAAATTTGTCGTTATTTTGCATTTTTAAAATTTGAAAATAAAACAATTTCACTTTATTTTAAACAAATTCCCCAAACTTTTTATTAATCCCTTCTTTCTTCGGTATTGTGTGCCTTTCAGATGGCTATTTT